TTTTGTAACAGGACTAAACAAACCAGTGGGATGCTCATATCGCTACAGATCACTTGCTCCAAAGGGGATCTGAATAGTCTTTGATAACGGTCAGTTCACGTTTGTTTTCTCCTCGCCTTGGTCTAACTACCTGATTGTTACAGTCCAAGGGAACAGCATTGAAGAAGTCATGGAGAGGATGTTATCCATAAAGAAGTGCACAGCTCAACAAAACTCAGAGCGGAAGCGATCAGCTGAGGGAGTCAGCGAGAGCACTCAGACTGACACGGACTTAGGGGAGTCCCTGAGTGCGACTCTGAGCTCCGTTACGACAGCCTGCCCTCTGGCGGCAGCAGCACCTCTTCTTGGGCTACCAGCGGCTACAAAGAACAAGTCACCCTCCCAGCTATCAGCCTGCTCTACTTCACCAGGGCAGTGCATATCCCCGTCTAGTGCTGGTCCTCCTCTTACACCATCGCCACCTCCTCCTTCCCCACCCCCGCTGCCCACGGGCATGGCAGCCCTGCCCGCTCCCCCTCCCCCACCCCTCCCCCACTGCCTGGTCTGGGGAACATACCTCCACCTCCTCCACTGCCTGGTCTGGGGAACATACCTCCACCTCCTCCACTGCCTGGTCTGGGGAACATACCTCCACCTCCTCCACTGCCTGGTCTGGGGAACATACCTCCACCTCCTCCACTGCCTGGTCTGGGGAACATACCTCCACCTCCTCCACTGCCTGGTCTGGGGAACATACCTCCACCTCCTCCACTGCCTGGCCTGGGGGGCATGCCTCCACCTCCTCCCCCACTGCCTGGCCTGGGGGGCGTCCCTCCGCCTCCTCCCCCACCAGGGGGCAACGTGGAGGAAATAGTGGTTGCCCACGTTGACTATGCTTTGGGCTATGCCAGGCCTTTCCAAAAGAAGGTGAAGACTCCGACCCTGAGAATGAAGAAACTCAACTGGCAGAAGCTGCCTTCCAATGTGGTGCGAGGTAGGTGCTATACTCAGGCGCTGTTTTTGTCGCTGCTGTAGAGAGACGCACACACGTGGCTCCTCCCAGTGTGTTCTGCACTTTCTCCTTCGACTGGAATTTGTTGGGTTGGGGAAATAGTGTTTTCCTCATAGCTCCCTTCCCTCCCCCAAAGTGCCCGAACCTTGAGTTTCTTGGTGGCTATATTGGGCTTTGGGTCCAGTCCAGGGGGTCTGGAACAATTTTTATAGGGGAGCTGCTTAGAGCCATTCAACCTGTATGACAGTGGTTCTCAACCTTTTTCTTTCTGCCTCCCCCCCACCTCCCTCAAGCTATAGCAGCTTCCTGGCCCACCTGTGTCACAAAAACTGGTTTTCTGCATATAAAAGCCAGGGTCAGTATGAGGGGGTAGCGAGCAGGGCAAGCGCCCAGGGGCCCACGCCACAGGGGCTCCCAGAAAACAACACTGTTCAGACTTCAGCTTCAGCCTGGGAGACAGGACTCTGGGCATCAGCCCCATGCCATGGGGCTTTGGCTTTCTGCCCTGGGCTCGAGTGAGTCTAATGCTGGTCCTACTTGGGAGGCATTCTGACACTGGCTCATGGCCCCCCAGGAGGCCCAACACCCTGGTTAAGAACCACTGCTGTATATGATGGAAACCTCTTCAATTCAGCGGGTGTGGCAGCATCCCTAGCACCTATAGTCCAGTCTTCAGAGCTAGCTTCCGACAGTGTCCATTGCTGCACATTCATTGCAATGTAGTCAGAAAATGGGACTTGGAGAAGCCAAATGGCCAGGCTCTGGCTGATGCCTGTGCATGCAGGGAAGGGGATGGGATGGGTGCTAGCCACAGAGCCATTCCTCGCCTCCTCTTCCTCACCACTCTGTTCCCACCCCTGCGCAGGAAGACACCTGTGGTTGTGCTGCTCCTCCATCCCTGGTAGCTTTTGAAGGTGTCTTGCCCTCATCATGGTGCTTTAGTGTAAAGTCACAATTTAGCTCCCAAACAAATAGCTTTCTCTTCCGGTATGTAGCAGAATTCTCTCTATTAGAACTAACACTGTAGAGAGCTTTACATATGGGGGGGAGGTGAGGGGGATGTTATTTAGATGGTTCCTAATGAATCTGGCTGGGTAAAACCCATTTAATAGGCTGCTGCCTTCAGCTCAGCTAAACTGCTGGTGGCTGTAGATTTCCTGGTTTAATTCACCTTCAAACCTTTGGGATCCTGTCTGTGAGCGCTGCGACTCTTAAATAGTTAGCCCTAGTCCAGGTGAATGGGCCTCGTTTCTCATGTATTGCATTCCTCTTAGGGTATGTCTACACTACAAAGTTAGTTCGAACTAACTTTAATAGGCACTACACTAGCGCTCCGCTAGTTCGAATTTAATTCGAACTAGCGGAGCGCTTAGTTCGGACTAGGAAAACCTCATTTTACGAGGATTAAGCCTAGTTCGAACTAGCTAGTTCGAATTAAAGGGTGTGTAGCCCCTTAATTCGAACTAGTGGGAGGCTAGCCCTCCCCAGGTTTCCCTGGTGGCCACTCTGGCCAACACCAGGGAAACTTGTCTGCCCCCCTCCCAGCCCCTGACC